GAAAAAAGGGACAAGGAGGATTTAAAGGCTGGAAGAGGGACCCAAAGGCAGCTCTGTCAGTCAGCTGGACACCATGCAGTGAAACAGTGAGACAGGCAGCAGGTTCATGACCTTTCTGCATGTTTGCATCAAGGACACTTCCCTAGGAAGCATCTGCCTGGTGGGAAATAAGCTCAAATCTGCAGTAATTGCTGTTCTATTGATCACACTCAGGCAGTTAAAAGCCAACAAACCAAACAAAGCCAAACAACTCAGCAGCTTAAACTTCTGATGGGGGTCCAAGGCCCCAGGTGGGGCATGGAGGAGGATGTGAAGTGCTTTGTACCCCCAAACTGCTCCAGGACTGGATGCAGAACAATCCTGGGCCTTCCTAAGGATAACCAAATGACTTGAGAGTGGCAGTCTGGGTGTTTTCCTCCCTTGCTGCAGTAAGCCAGCAGTCCCCACCACAGCCAGGGAGACTGGGAGCAATCCCTGCTGCTGTGGCAGGTGCCCCTGGGGTGTCTCTTACCAGTGCTGTACCCATGGGATCCATAGCCACTGGGCTGCTGGAAAGGGGTTGCTGATGCGTTGACGCTGACATTCACACCATGCTGCTTGGAAGAGGTAGGAGCAACCTACAGAATGGAGAGAGGAGCAGAGTGAGGAGAGGCTTTCCGTGCCCTCCCCCTGCCCAAACCCCCTCCTGGCCCCTGGGCACTCACAGGGAACACGGCAGGCCCGTACTGGAAGGTGCTGGGCAGCCCTGGGACCCCTGTGTAGTAGGGCAGACTGGTGTAACTGTAGCCTGGAGGCAGCGCTGGGTTCAGGAACGTCTGCTGGGTGGTATGGTGAGTCTGGGTCTGGCTCTGCTGGGGCTGGGCCAGAGTTGTTGCAGGAGCAGGGGAGGAGGCATCACCTCGGCCAAATTTTGTTAAGTCACCTGCAATAGAGGAGGTGGAAGTGAAGAACAGATGTGCCAGCCCAGGGCTGTGACAGCTCAGCCCAAAGGTGAACCAGCTTGTTGATAAATAGACCAGACCTGACTCAAACCCCTCCTGCCACTGCAGCCATCAGGAGCTCTCAGACCTTTGCACACTGATAAGGTAAAGCTGTTAATTGCTCTCCTCGGTCCTGAGAGGACTTCAGAGGGGAAGGGAAGCCCACAGTAACTACTGTGCTGCACGTCCTGACCTCAGCCCACTGGATAAACCTGCTGCTGCCTGCACAGCAGAGCCTGGGGCTGGAGCTCTCCCTCGTCCCTCTCCGTGCACCAGCAGCAGAACTGGACACGACCCAGGGCACACACCACTGCCTGGGCTGTGCAGGGTTGGGGAAGCTCCCTGTGCTGCTCTTCATGAGCACCTGCTTGGCTCTCCCCTGCAAACACTCTCCTGTCCACAGTGCTCTGTGCTTGGCACCTCAGGCTTAGCTCCTGCACAAAGCAGCTCCTGCCAAAGCTGAGAAGTGGTGCTGGGAAAAGAGTGAACCTCCAAGTGCAATGATTCCTCAAGCATGTGAAAGCTCAGCACAGCCAGTGCAGCTTGGCAGTGCATTAACACACCTGCCAGGGTCAGTGAGAGGTCAGGCACCTGCTGGGTGCTTGGGTTTGACAGGTCCCAAATGCTCCACTTGCTTTCTCCATTGATAAAAACCTTAATTTCTCCATATTTTTGTACTTCTCTGTATTTTAACTCCCAGTGCTTGAGCAGCACTGCTCACCACCTGCCTCACCACCACCTGGAGAGCAGTTCCCCAGCTGGATACATTGCAGAGTCTTTCAGCCTTTCCTTGCTGCCTTTCCAACTGCTGCTTTAACTCCTTCTCTCCAGCTCTTCCCAGTAACACAACCAGGTGACCAAAGGGAAGACAAGGATTTAGCTGGGACACTCCAAACCCAAGGCAGTGTGGGAAGCTGGTGCAGATGTGGCTCCAGGGGACAAAGGCACAGGAAACCCTGATGGGATGGGAATCAGAGCAGTGTTTTCCCCTACCAGAGTATGGGTTGCTGCTCAGGCTGCCATCTCTTCCAGTCAGAGGGGTGGTGGGCGTGGGGAATGGGATGCTGTAGTAATCCTGAGGGATGAAAACAAGAGGAGAAGAGGTTGGATCGGCTCTGTCCAACAGTGCAAAGCAGTTCTCTTTTGGCAGAGAGAAATTTCTGTGCTGTAGCTGTGAGATATGTGGGAGCATTGCAGTTCAGTCAGCCACATCCAGGCTGGGCATGCCCTGCAGCAGCCCCAGGTTGCTGTAGCATGCACCATCCCCCTCACCTGGCTATTAGAACAACCAGATAAGGTCTACTGGTGTGCAGTCCTTCAACTGCCTGGACTTTCCTCTCCACCACACCAGACAAAGGACAACATGTCCTATTGCTATAAAGCCCATCCTCATCAAGTGTATAGTCACTGCCTTTGTCAAGGGGCAGAGGTGAGTCTCTCCCACAGCCCTGCTGCAGCTCACATGCTCCCCAGCCCCACGAGGGACAGTGCTGGGTGACTAACATGTGCTCCCCACATGCCAAGGAGCAAGTGATTAACTCCTCGCTGCTGCCACGAGAGGTGCATCCTCCCAGCACCCTGTCTTGGTGTTTGTCTGCTCTTCAGGACCACCCACAGCACCAGTGGAAGTGGAGTGTCCATGTCATTGTGCAGCACTCACCAATGGGAATCTCGTCTGGAGCATTTGCAAGTCATCGTATCCATACACCTGTGGCTAGAAAAAGAGCAGGAGATGATGTCAGGGACTAGATAGAGACACTGACCTAATTTTAGATTAAAGATGTAGGTAAATGTGAGATCAAGGCAGAAGCAGCCAGGCAGTGGTCACACAACCCCCAGGTACAAGCAGCCACCACCCCTCCCTCCTCAGGCTGACGCTGCCAGAGGTGCGTGGGAGCTGCTCAAAGTGCTCCAACCACAAAACCACCCGAGTTTCCCCCTGGAAATCATCCTGAGATCTAAATCTGTCCTCACCTCCAGGAGAGAGGGCTGTGACACACCCCTAGACTTTGTGGCAGCCGCCACCGTTGCCCTGAGTGTTTGCCCTTTGTCACCCCATGTTCCTAACACACTCTGCTGTCCCATGTGCCAAACTGTGACCAAGAGCTGCTGCCCTCCAGAGGAGAACAGACTCTGCTTTGGGGTGACCAGGACAGACATTTATTCCCACAGGCACATGCGTTTTGTGGTGAACAGCAGCTCCAAACTCCACCCATCCAAGGCAGCTCTGCTGGGCTACGTCACAGGGTTTGGTTTCTATATAATAGTCAATCCCTCCTGCTGCAAAGAGCTGGGAGGGACCTGGTGGCACCACATCACTGCGGAGCGGGGAGAACCCTGGTGGCACTGCAAGGAGCTGGAGCTGGGAAAACACTGATGGCACTGCAAGGAGCTGGAAGGGACCTGGTGGCACCACATCACTGCAAAGAGCTGGAGCTGGGAAGGACCTGGTAGCACCACATCACTGTGAAGAGCTGGAGCTGGGAGGGCCCTGCTGGTACTTCAAAGAGCTGGAGCTGGGAGAACCCTGGTGGCATCACATCACTGCAAAGAGCTGGAGCTGGAAGGGACCTGGTGGCACCA